GCTGGACTCCCATGTAGTCGACTGTAGTTCGAGTCCAGGATCCAGCGGCATGTGAAACTCATGCCGGGCACGTGTACGTGCATGCCCAAAGTCCCAAGAGGAGAATAGAAGGGAATGTGGCCTATGGCTCCTGGGGAGGTGATTTCTCTCTTGCTGTCACTGTTTCTGTGTCCCTGGTGAGTACACATGCCCTATAGCAAAAATTTCTCTGGGGAAAATAAAAGGTGAGGCTGTTGGGGGGGCCGGGGGGTTAGATTACGAGCCCTCAGGAACAGGTTAGTGCTCTTAGAGGACAGGCCTGGAGGAACGTGTTCCCCTTCTACGGCAGGGACCGTGTGTGAGCCGGAAACTGAGCCTCTGTCGGATACTTGTGACAGTGTCCTCGCCTGTCACGTCATAGCCTTGGAACTTTTTGGGGTTTTTTTTGAGAACTTTTTGCTATAGTGTGCGTGTGCTCACCAGAAAGAGAAAGACAGAGAGAAATCACCCCCTGGGGGGATGGTCATGCCACAATCCCTTCTCCATTCTCCTCTCGGGATCTTGGGCACGCATGCACATGGCCTGGCGTGAGTTTAAGACACCAAGTTCGGGACTCAAACTGCAGTCAACTACATGGGAGTCCAGTGACATAGCCATTACGCCAACTGTTGGTCCCCACAGCCTCAGAACTTTTAAGAAATGTTTTTGGTTCCTAAGTTGCTCAGTTTACGGGGCTTGTATCTGTTTTTGTTATTGGGTGAGTATACTTACCAAAGAGACAGAGAGAAAGTGAGAAATCACTCCCAGAGGGAATGGCCAGGCCACATTCCCATCTCAACTCTCCTCTCGAGATTTTGAGCACACACACATACCTGGTTTGTTTTCCAAGCTGCCAGATCTGGGACTTGAACCATGGAGTCGGCCATGTGGAATCCAGACGCCTTTAGCACCACGCCAGCTGGATGGCCCAGTTTGTGAACAAGCGAAGACACGTGTAGTAAATACTCGAAAGCCCGCCGGGCCAGGATGAAGATGAGTTACGGAGCCGGGATGTGATGCTGGGAAGAACCGCACTGGCCAGGCAGTTTATCCTGAGTGAGCAGTGAACACCGGTGCTCACCGCACACCTCCGACCTCCGTGTACTATAACCACGCCTGCTGCCACTGTTACAGATCAGAGTGACTAAACGTCAGCAGTGGCATTCGTTGGTAAGTGACCTGCGGTACCAATGAGCATTCTCTAACACACTCACAGCGCACACTGGGCGAGGCCTGATCCCCTCCCTGCCCTGCGTCCTACACACCTTCCCTCTCCCCTGAAGAGTCCTGCCCTGCCAGGGGCCACGGTCTCACCACAGCCCACCTCAGGGGCGACTTCCTGGACTCTACAGAAGCAGATTTTCTAAGTGAAAGCTTTGTTTCAAATCACGACGCTTACCACTTAGAAAATTGGGACCAGCAGTTGGCGTGATGGCTATGTCGCTGGACTCCCATGTAGTCGAGCATGGTTCGAGTCCCAGATCTGGTGGCCTACACTCACCAGGCACGTGTGCGTGCGTGCCCAAAATCCCCAGAGGAGAATGGAGAAGGGATTGCAGTGTGGCCATTCCCCCGGGGGGTGACTTCTTGCTGTCTCTCTGTCTCTGTCTTTCTGGCGAGCGCACATGCCCTATAGCAAAAACCTCTCCAAAAAAATATAATAAAACATAAATAAACTACTACTGATTCAGGGTCACCAACTGAGATGGACACAGGAATGAGAAGTGTATCTTCTCATAAGCCCAGTTCTCACATGTGCCTGGCCTCCGTAGGCCCTGAACCCACCATCCTGGGAGAATGTGTGGAGAGCAGCACAGTCCCACACTCTCTCCACGCTTCACCCAAACCTGCAGTACCCTCCAGCTGGGGCTTCAGATGTGGGGTTTCTTTGTCATTGCCAGAGGGCGCACGGACCAGCTGGTGATGTGGTGATTAAGGCATCTGGATCCCACATGGTCAGCTGAGTGGTTCGAGTCCTGGATGTTGCGGCTTGAGAAACACATTGGGCATGTTTGCACGTGTCCAAAATCCAGAGGAGAATGGAGAAGGGACTGCGGCAAGCCAACCCCCATGGGCTGCTCTCCCACTTTCCCTGTCTCTCTAGCAATCACACACACCCTATAGCAACTTACATAAAACAAAACGGAGGGTACACGCACTCGGCAGAGACGGGCGGGTGAGGGAGGTGGAAAGCAATCCCAGTCGGGGGTGTGGCCACACTGCAATCTCCTCTCACTTCTCCCTCCTGCTGGGATCTGGCGCATGTGCATACATGTGCCCGGCATGTTTTCCAAGCTGTAGGGGCGAGGCCTAAACTGCTCAGTCAGCCACGTGGCATCTGGCTCCTTTAATCACCAGGCCACAGGGTTAGGACCAGATGTGAATTTTTTTAAGTGTGAAAATGCCTCAGTAATTTGGAGTAAGGTTGAAAGGCAGAGGATTCAGAATAAATGCAATAACTCAAGAGTGTTTCAAAATACACTCAACTGCTTCCAAGCTTAGGCTATTATTTTAATTCTCTTATGTAAAGCATATGTCAAGATGTCAAGAATACTCTTCATAGAATACTTACAGGATATGTTTATCACTCCAGCGGTCAAAAACTCAGGTTAGAGCTGGAAATAATTCTGATGCCTGCTTCCTACTCTTCCAATAGGAGGGATTTTCTTCTTTACTTTTTTTTTGGAGAGGTTTTTGCTATAGGGCGTGTGCACTCGCCAGAAAGACAGAGAGAGACATAGAGACAGAAAGCGAGAAATCATCCCCCAGGGGGCATGGCCACGCCGCAATCCCTTCTCCTTCATTCTCCTCTCGGGATCTTGGGTACGCATGCACACGGCATGAATTTAAGCCACTGGATCCGGGACTCGAACCACGGTTGAATACATGGGAGTCCAGCAACATAGCCATTATGCCAAGTGCTGGTCCCCAGAGGGATTTTCTTCTAAGCAAACTGTAATTTCAAGTGTAGAGAGCACACTGGACATACGTAATTACCAACCAGTCTCTCCCAGCACCCTCAGACATGCACACATAGACGCATCAGGTCAGCTTTGAAGTCTAGGCTCTCTGAGTCAACACTGGCCTTTTCTAAATTCATTAGCTTCTGTGCGGCCCCTCACCTATGCCCCAAATGGCCTCAAGTCTATAACCCTGTGGGCTGTTCCTGCTCTTCATCTTCTACTTGGAAGGTCAGATGGAGTTTACTTCTCCAATCCCACAGAAGAGTACCTTTGAGGTGCCTCATGAGGCTCTGTATTGGCACCTTCCTCCCAGTATAAAAAAATATATGTGTATGTGTGCGTGTGTGTGTGTGTATTTATATGTATACACACACACACACACACACATTTATGTATACAGCTACAGAAGGCCTGAACTTTTGTCTCATACCTACCAAAAGGAACAAACAACCTATAACCTACTCCGATCTTAAGAGAGGAGGACAAAGTACAGAAAAATAGGGCTGGCCCCACGGCCTAGTGGTGAAGGGAGCGGGACCACGCGGCTGACCACTGGGTGTGCGCGCACGTGTGCCCAACGTCCAACTGCAATGCAGAATGAAGAAAGGTCTGCAGCATGGCCACACCCCGCTCCCTCTCTGGAGCATATGCACCCTATGGCAAATTAAAAAAGAAAAAGAAGAAAAAAATTTACTCCAATGGTACGAGCAGGACTCCCACTTCCTGTTTAGTCCTGGATTGTGGATTACAAAACAAGAAACGAGGGACATATCACATACCACAGGAGTCTACCTCTTGCAAATGTGGCTCCAGTTTTTAAAACTTAAGAGGTTAGGTTTTTGCCTTAGGGCACAAGCACTGGGGGAGGGGTAAGACAGTGAAAGGAAAAATGAGAAAGCACCCCCCACCCAGAGGGGATGGCCACGCCACAATCCCTTCTCCTCCATGGATCTTGAACACACACGCACATGCACATGCACCCAGCACAATTTTCAAGCCACTGGGTCCAGGACTTGAACCATGGTTGGCCATGTGGGAGTCTAGCAAAAAAACCACTGTGCCATCTGCTGGTCCCTTTGCTCTAGTTTTCTTTAAACCGTTTTCTATTCCTACAGCATGTAGCAAAGTTCCATTCCAAAGCCAGCCAGATCAGTGAGGGCAAGCCCAGAAAGATGCCTTCTCACTAGTCCAGGATGGGGGCTGCCGAGATGCCAGGACACTGGCCATCAGCCCACTACCTCCACCAAATATTCCCGATGGGGACTGTGAGGGCAAGTGCCACCCGAACTAGCTCGTTCCTCTGCATTTGTTCTTTTCATTAATGACTTGGTCAAAGCCTCGTTTTCCCTTAAAGTCAAGTACATTCAGTTTAAAACCCAAATTCAATGTGGCATGGGGCAAGACAGTGGCTGGTAATAACCCAATGACCTGTGATGCTAAACCCCGAGTTTCCGGCTCACATCCCAAGGCTTCCCTGTATGCACCAGGGGGTGTGTATGTGTGTGGTGGTCCAGGCTGACTGAAGCTGGAGGAAGACTCTGGATGGCATGGGGACCATGTTGGGGGCCCAGGACTCGAACTGCAGTCAGCCAGATGGAAGTCCAGCACCGTAACCACTATACCTGCTGGCCCCAACACTTAATGCCTTTTTCCCAGTGTAAGGGAACCTGAGCGCTCGCTCAGGACTTGAGTCTCTCCAGCTGTCCAGGAACGCTGCAAGGACCTCGGGTCCATAATAAGACTTTATGGAGACAAAGGTGAAAGCGAGTCATCCATCACTACCATTATTTACCCAAGGGTAAACTCATACACACACTATGCTTCTGAATATGAACAGTGCATCGTTCACAGGGCGTTCTTAATGCCACTACATCACCAGCAAATGCCAAACCAGGAGAGTGGGAACTACTTTCAGGCCTGCTGTGCACCCTCCTCAGAGTTCAGGGAACTGCAGGTGCCCCATTCCTCCCTCCCGGAAAAAAAAGACCAACTGACAAAAAAGATACAGAATGCTTCTGGTTTTGTTTTTTCTTATTTCTTTTTCAGGAACAATCGAAATATAAGAAACTATTTCCTTAAAAACACTGACATTGGAGCTCTGTTACCAAAGACATCTAAATAGTCAAAAAACAAAAACAAAAACAAAAAAACATTTTGAGAACAAGAGTGAAAGCTTTTGCACACCTGACAAGGTAGACTGGTTTTTAGAACAGACGCCATCAATATTCAGCCCTACCGGTATTCTCACAAATGAAACGTTATTTTTCTTATAAAGACGTGGACTCAAGTCAGAACTACAACAAGGTACAGTCAAAGGAAGGTGAGGTCCCCCGTCTTACCCTGGACTGACCCATGGCAGAGGATCTGAGTCAAACAGTGTCTCTGCTCAGACCGCTCGGAGCCTCTGCGGGCGGGCACTTGGCATCTGGTACACAGAAGCTTCTCAGGTGGCCATGCGCACCAGTGGCGGGGGCTGCTCCCCAGCAACCCCTTGCCCATAGAGCCCTGCACTTGGCTCAGAATGCCATACATTATCAATTTTTAGTGTAATTTTGAGCCTTTTCGTATGCTTTGGTGATTTTCAGAGCAATATTTAATCAGGAAAATACGAGCAAAGAGAGACGAGGTAAAAAAAGAAATTTCCATAAGGCATGATATGAATAAATAAGTGAAAAAAAAATAATCTCAAGTTTAAGAGTAAAGCATGAGAAGTCAAAACCTGGGAGATTTTATTTATACAAAAGAATAAAAATATCTATTTTTAAAAAGACTGATTTAAACTTATGTTTTAGCTTTTCTTGCTCCTCGAACATGAAACTGCTTCTAACACAGAAAGATTCAAGATAGGGAAGGTAATTATTAAATAAATACTCTTCACCTTTCCCCTGAAAGAAAACAAAGAGCCAAGTTTCCCATTACGGTAAAGCAGATCCTTCTCAGTTAAGAATATTGGCAACTGCATGGAACAGATGATCAGATAGGTCAGCGGGAAGGTATGCGCTGTACAAAAGCATTACAAAAAGTTTCAAAAGAAAACAAGATGGTAAAAACAACATTTAAAAACAAAACGAAACACAAAACCAAATAAGAAAATGCCAGAGATCTCCAGCCCCCATCTGAAACGAGACTTGTGTTGTACTTTCGGCATAAAACAAAAGCGGAGAGCATTTCTCGATGGGTGTCACAGATGAAGCTGGGGCCAGCCAGGTGGGGGAGACACTCATTCTCAGAAGGAGGAACGCAGTTAGAAACACGCCAGGGCTCTAACCGTGTCTCGGGCTTCCTGCAATTCCAGTACTAACGAGGACACAAAGTAAAGGACCCGATGTCTTACGGCAAGGACGTGTCACCACCGTGGAACAAACTACTTAGGCACAGGCACCGGGTCTGGGAGAGCGGGGGTGGTCACGCACTCAGGTGAGGGGTGTGTCTCTGTGAGGTCGGAGAAGGGCAGCAGGGCTCCACAGCCTGGAAGCTTCTGCTCTAAGGTATCTTCTAATAGTCCTAAAGAGAGAAAAACGAAAGACCCAGCTTACTCTCAGAGGAACACTGGTTTGACCCTAACAAGAAAAAAACAATTTCTGCTAAGGGATTACTCTGTAGCTAAAGATTCTATTTCAAATAGAATGTATACTACTGCACATCTGAAAACATCCTATCTTCCGAGTCCATAATGGGATCAAAACATCTACTCTGCTTTTACTAGACCAAATATTTAGAAAGAGCTAGTATCGGGTACAGCAGGCATGGTGGTTAAGGTGCTAGACTCCCACACGGCCGACTGCGATTTGAATCCCAGACCTGGCAGCTTCCTTTCTCACTCTCCCTCTCTTTCTCTGTTGCTCTCTGGTGAGCACACGTGCCCTTTAGCAAATACAAAATAATAATAATAAGTAAAATTAAATAATGTTAATGTTTAATCTTTTTTTTTAAGAGCTAGTATTAACAACTTACTATTTAATCAGCGGGAATTTTTTGTCAGTAGAAATATATGGGATGGGGCCAGCAGGTAGCATGGTGATTGAGGCACTGGACTCCCACATGGCCAACTGCGGTTCAAGTCCCAGACCTGGCAGCTTGCTTTCTCACTTTCCCTCTCTCTCTTGCTCTCTCTATCTTTCTCTGGTGAGCACACATGCCCTGTAGCAAATTAAAAAATAATGATAAATAAAATTAAGTAAACAATTCTTTGAAATTCAACCATGGTTTGAGTCCCAAACCCAGTGGCTTAAAACTCTTACCAGGTACCTGTGCATGTGTGCCCAAAATCCTAAGAGAAGAATGGAGAAGGGCTTACAGTGTGGCCAACCCCCTTAGGGGGTGATTTCTCACTTTCTGTCTCTCTGTCTCTCTCTGGTGAGTCCACGCTCCCTATAGTAAAAATCTCTCAAAAAAATAAAAATTAAAAAAAATTTCTTTAAATGTATGGGATGATGAACATATTAATTAAACTGATTTGCTCATTACATGTTACATTCATCAAAATCACAGTACTCTAGAAATATGTACAAGTACTATGTATCAATTAAAAATTATAACGTACGTGACCTCTTTATTACTCCAAAGTATTAAAAAATTAAATGACACCTAAAAGTTAAAGTGTATACAGACAGACTCCCCAGACTTAAAAATAAGACTCGTGAGCCCAGATGAGAAACCCAAGCTTGGAAGACAGATGCATTCTTCTCATCATTTACAAAACTGCCAGCCTCTCTGAGGTGGTCTGGCTGATACTTACAGCTCGTGGCTTTTTGTTTAACTTCAGATCGATCCTGTGACAGAAAACAAGATATGTGCACTTTAATGTACAGAAAAAGGGCTCAAGGATCAGCTACTGCATAGGGCACAAGCTATAACAAAGACTATTCGGTTAAGTCAAATCCACATTCTTCATTAGACTACGTCGTATTTAGTTGTTTACCCAGATATCATTAGGCAAGTATTAAAAAGTATGAGCAGAGAGTGCTGCCGTAAGGCAGACTCAGATAACCCGCAGTTACAGAAGTTGGATCGCTTTTTAAAAACGATTCCATGTTGCACGTTAGCGAGGCGGGGTTAAGAGAGCGTGCTCTGCGTTGCGGCGTTAGCTCTGTTAACCAGGCACCGAAAATCACCGGGACGTGGTGATTAAGAACAGGGAAGAGACTAGGAGTTTGTATTTCTGGTCATGAAACACAAAATAAATTAAATGAATTTCCACTTTTAAATCTTTCCAAAGCAAAATATCAAGATCTTAAAATTATTAATCTCCTTATGCAGCAAAGCCAGAAAAATCAATTTAAATATGAATGAAAGTAAAGGTTATCTATTTAAAAAGAAATTAAAATGCATAAAAGTGAAGTGTACTTAATTTTGCTTAAGTTATTAAATAAAATGTTACCTCGTCACGTTTTTCTGTTTTTAAAAAAAACTTCCCAGCCTAACCTAATATACATACCTACAATTAAACAGATAAACTATGGGTTAGAAAGGTCTCAAAAAGGCACACTGATGTCTACACACTAAACAACACAGCACAAATACTAATGCAAATCAAACTTACTCAAAGTCATAATCAAACATGCCAGACGGGCTGAGGGGCAGCATTTGAAAGGAAGAAAGCAATAGAAATTAATACACTAATTGAACAAATTAGTCGATTAGCCACCCTAGCAAGATTTGTAGAAACACAATCAGCTTTAAGAATCTTAAGCAATAAAAGTGTCAAACATCAAAGCACCAAAGACTTCTGTGTTCTGGAGGTTCCCTTCCCTCAATGGATTTCGTATCAGAAGCATAGACTACAAAAGGAAAAGTTATTTCATTAGGAAACTACAGATACCTAGAGCCCTTGTATTAGCCACCAGATTCAGAGTTAGAACTTGAAAAATATTGAATTGTATTGAAAAATATAATTAGGGTATTAGAGGAGACAGAGAAAAGTTCAGTCATAAAGTAAAAGGCCCTTTACAAGGCAGTACTCAACAACGGCATAATATACTTGCACGGAAATCAAAGACGACACATTCTCAACTTTTAAACCAGCAAGTCCTTCCTAACGTTTTACTCGGGTCACATATTCTACAGCTGTCCAGGGAACACGGTGCTCCTTTCTATGGCATCCGTCCTTGGCCAAGGGTTGGGCCAACAGCTCAGTGGAGGCGTCTCATGCCTCAAACTGAAGATGGGATTCCCCTGTCCCCTAAATGGTCATGGCAGTGAGCTACTGAGGTGAGGGCCACGGCGACCGAAAATAATACCTGCCCGTGGGCAGGGCCCCCATTCGAACAGAGGAGAGCTGGTGTCCGGACGTGCCAGGCCCAGGGACCTGGAGGGAGCAGGACCAAGGAGGAGCCGGGAGCCCGCAGTGTGCACGGTCGCAGGGTCTGCTCCGGGCAGGCCTCGGGCACTGGCAGCCACTGGCAGGGCCGCACCAGCTGCTCAGCGGGCACCCGTGCCTCCCAGCGGGCACAGGTGGTTAAACACGCAAATGGCCC